AGAAAGAAGATACAAAAAAATTATTTATATACAGTACAAACTTTGTCATAGAAGATAAACATATTAACAGTTCAATTACTCCAGTCAAGTGATATTACAAGTGGTCATATAAGTATTTTTTACTTTTTTTGGACACTAAAAAATACAAATTAAAAAAAACCAAATTAAATAAAAAAAAAAACATAGCGGTCGTTACAGAGGAATTAATTAGGAATGTCCAATTTGTTTTGGCAAAACTATGTACATATTAAATTTTAAGTTGATCCTTTCTTTCTGTCTTTCATGAATTTAAGTGCATGTGCTTGCATTAATCGTGTAGTGCATATTCAATGAATTTAAGACGAGAAGCCGGCCCTGCGCAGTTAGGTCCCCACACACACTTATCCTTCCTATACTATGCTGCGGGTGTGTGACTCAATCTGTTGTGACAAGTATACGACTAGAAAACGAAACAATAAAAGCACCACACAGCACCGACACTACGGACTCTTTGAGGCTAGTCGTTGAGCTACGTAGAAAAAAAAGAAATCCCCTAAAAGAAACAAAAAAAAAACAAAAACTGTACAGTGTTCTGTAAACTTGTCAGTCTGACTACATCAGACCTACTTCTGGTCCTGCCCCAAAATCGACTTCAAGTCCCCATTGACCCTATTGTAGTAAACATATTGGGAATGTAATAACAAGCTGCATAATACTTTGTTTGAAGGCTTAAAAGTCTCCACAATTCTGCTACGTTCCATATTAGAAGGCAACCTTTCTTAAACTTTCTATCCCAGAGGAACCCTTGAATAACTTTCTATCCCAGAGGAACCCTTGAATAACTTTCTATCCCAGAAGAACCCTTGAAAAGTTTTTATCCCAGGGGAACCCTTGAAAAGTTTTTATCCCAGGGGAACCCTTGAAAAGTTTTTATCCCAGGGGAACCCTTGAAATAATTTTTAGGTCTCAGGGAACCCATGCTAAGGATAGGCCATTGATGTGGGGTTATTGGAAAAACGTCCCTTACAGTGATGGCCAGAATGCTACTCTTTACAGCCAGCTCAAAAGACCATAGGTGTCATGTTGGAGGCTCTGTCAAGTGGCGTTTGACCTGAAGCAATGCAGGCCCCATCAGATTGGAAGTCAATTAGCCACAGCTCAAGGAACCCCAAACAACCTCAAGAGGAACCCTTGTTGTAAGGCATGGCAGAAGAAGGTAAATGAACTGTCTTGTTTCCTTATGTTTGCCAGGTGTTTGAATAGTCAGCTATGTCCAATGTTGCCTGCTCCCATGGAAAGCCTAATCTATAAAAACTTGCTGTAGAAGAGCCTTGGCCATAACCAAAATGTGAACCTTTCCCACTGGACAAGCTGGATACTACAAATCCCTGTACCAACATGAAGGATCAAGACTAGAAATAAATATTATTTTTAATATTGATGACTCCACAGCCCTGTCATAAGATAAAGGTTCTTCTTAGAAAGGTGGAGATACCTTTTAAGCTCCAAAAGTTTGACCTTCTCCTGTAACAATGAAATAATACTTGCGGAGTGCCCCTGCGAGGCAGTAAGCGGCCTTAGCGCTACATGGGAGAAATTCTCCGAACCGCCCCCACATGGAAGAATTTCTGAGGGCCCTGTAACGATCTGGAGATGTTGGCTACCTGAAAGGAAGGGTCCTTCAAAAATGCACAATACAAAAAAAGAGAAAAAAAAAACTCCTTCCTGTACTAGGAGGAGATATGGCTAACTCTATCCCAGAGACGGTGGTCTATGCGTCATCCTAAGCGTCCGATATACAGTTTTGGATCTTGTCCATCCACTGCTGGGCACTTTGTGCGTCCTGGGCGCAGAAACTGTACACCCGCTTGCTGGTTTTTACCTGCAATGTAAAATAAAGCAGATGCATCATTTTTTCCACTACACTCTCAGTCGGTAGCACCTTTCTGGTGATCCTGCCAGTTACACTCCTTTCCTATTGGTAATCTGGTCACGCCCAGCATGGAAGCATTTCTGTGCTGGTGTGGTCAGCTTGCGTATCGAAGCTACAGGAGGACGTACAAACAAGTTGGTATGCTCGTGGCCCTGTCCTCCGGCCCGGCAGTCGCAATCAGGTTTGGAAATAAATATAAATCACCGGTGAGCGCGTTCTCCAGGAAAGAATCAGTCATTCAGCATTGGGCTTTCCCACTGACAGGTGTTGTTCCTCCAAGATAAGACCTGGGCCGGACAGGAAGTCGGCTCAGTGCATGCTCAGCCGGTACAAGTTTATATATTTATACTGCAACCCCTGGACACCCAAAAGTTATGTGACGTCTACTGGGCTAGGTCAGCTCCTGGTTTCTTATACCTGACCTGTTGAATATTCGAACAGTGAGATCTCCTGGCCATAATTCCCAGTTCTGTTCCTGTCCACGTGGAGTTTTAGATGTTCCTGCACACCTTTGTGTGTTCAAAGCTACTCTTCTTACATTATCTATCCAGCAGGGATAGTGGGAGCTCCTCATGATTGGTAAACCAGGTGGTCAGACCTGAGAACCAAGGTGCATGGATGGTGGTCCCTCATAATGGGCACAGCAGGTGTGCAGATCCAAGAACTCCGTACAGGGATGGTGGGAGTCCATCATCAGCACAGCAGGTGTACAAAGCTGAGAATTCAGCGCAGGGATGACGGGAACCTCTCATAATGGGCACAGCAAGTGTACAGAGCCGGGAACTCAGCACCGTAATGGTGGGAACTTCTCATAATTGGGTACACCTAGTGTGCAGAATCAGGAACACAGCACAAAGATGGCGGGAAACCTCATAATGGGCACAGCAGGTGTGCAGACTTTATGGGCAAACTCTGCTTAAAAATTTGTGCCAGAGTTTGATTGGCTTATTTTTGTCAGAAGTGTCTACCCTACATCCAATCTTCAAACTGCTAAATACACAGATGGAATACATCTATAGGAGCTGTTCTGCTGCCAAAGGATTTGTATTTCTATCCATCCAGTCTCAACACAACACTTCACAGCCTTAATGGGGAAGGAGACCCATTTTTTTAAATCTGTTACAATATGCTTTCAATTACAAGGTTTCCCCGTCAGCAGACTGACCAGCTCATCTCCCTGTCACTCTCCTCCCTCAGCACGTATCTAGTTTTTCATTAAACAGCGACACCGATACGAAGGATTCCTTCATGTCATATCTTCTGATCAACACATCACACATGAGTTATTTTCTGATGCAACGGAGGTTTTGCAACTAACAACCCCAAAGATTTACAGTCTAGTACTTATTTTTAGCAACACAATGTCCCAAACAACCTGGCTGTTTCTATACATACCTATCAGATGACATGGGGGGGATTAGGCACAAACTGTCCCGGGACCCCGATTACTGGCATACAATGTACATCTGACAGCGGAATGATCACGTGAAGCCCCTCTAATGTGTACTGTCTTGGTTTCTATAGACACGGCTCTATTTCTGCCTTCTCCCCAATGGCGGGTGATGTCATGGATTGGAATTTTTTCGGGGCCCCACCCTACAATTCTACGGATCCCAGATGGCATCTGGAAAGAAGCCCCAAGATGTGAGCATCCTGCAAGAATGTAATGTTTCACTTCTCTATCTGCTTCCAATTACACAGCGAGATTTCTTCACATGTATCCAATCCCGAATGACAAGCTGAAAACATGTTTGCATGGCCGGCTAGCGCCTGATTGGCGATAGATTGTTGTGGTAAGGCGGTCACCAAAGGGTAGAGGTGCATGCCATCCAAAAATGAAGGGGATACGGACAACCTGCACAAAGGTTCAATTTTAAGCCAGCTACGGCTGTTACGCACTAGGGCCCTACTACTCTGTTGCCTTGTGTTTTGAGAAAAACAAATGCTGGGCAAGGTGAACATGCAGACCAGGCGCTCCTCACCCCAGTGTAGGCTTCTTGATGTCTCTGGGACCAACAGACAAGGTGGCAGCTTTGCACCAAACCACATGGCAGAGGAGCTCATGAATAAGGCAGACTTGCACATTATCAGTGGGCAGAATCAGCAGATCATTTAAATATTTGCTGGATGCCTGGGAGCTCCTCTTACAAGTGAACCTTGTCATGAAGGAGGAAGTCTGACTTGGAGCTTATGCGGGGCTAATGTTCCCTCACCCTTGTAAGAAGTGTGTAAGTATAAGCAGCTGGTAGGCATCAATGTGAACCTGTTGCTTGGCACTGTATGGACAAAGCACAGGACTGCTTAAAGAGAAACTGCTCCTATGCGGTCTTCCCACCAGAGCCCAGGCTAAGAGGGATGCAAGGGACCTTCCTCATGCGACGGTGCCCAGGCCTGAGCGGTCCAACACCAAGCCGGGGGGGGGTGGTCCTTCAGGGGACCAGTCACATGGATGAAGGGAGACTGCGGGAACAAGTAATACTGTATGTATTGCACCTTCCTTCTCTACCCCTAGACCTAAAGAGCATTGAAAACAAAAGGGAACAGAGCGCCACCTCCGTGTGTAAAATCGTTTATTACAATAAATAAAACAAGGGATAAAAGTACTCACAAACAAACGTTTTCATCAGGCTTTAACAACAAACGAGAGGCCACACTGTCTGTTAACCCAACATGGTATATCCCCGACCATGTAACACGGTAGTCTCCGGTCACATCACCGTCCACCGACCGCAGTCAGCCAAGATTGACGCGTTTCAGGGGCAAGCCCCCTTCCTCAGAATCATGATGATTCTGAGGAAGGGGGCTTGCCCCTGAATCATGGTCGGGGATATACCATGTTGGGTTAACAGACAGTGTGGCCTCTCGTTTGTTGTTAAAGCCTGATGAAAACGTTTGTTTGTGAGTACTTTTATCCCTTGTTTTATTTATTGTAATAAACGATTTTACACACGGAGGTGGCGCTCTGTTCCCTTTTGTTTTCTATGTTCGTGGTGGAAGCCCCAGAGCCTTGGATGAGCAGCCCCTCAAGTCTGTGTGTAAAAAACTGTTGAAAGCTTTGAGTGTGCAACAGCAAGTGGATTGTTCAGCTGGCAGCCATTAGCGCCAAGAGTTAAAGAAAACTTTTTGTCTAAAGAGCATTGAACCCGTGCAGTATGGGGTGGAGCCCAAGAAAATCTGCTGAGCCTTGAGCTGCAGAATTTGGACAATCAACATTGTCCTCGACACATTCACGGTGATTGGATGAAGCTGACTGTGCGAATATAAACATTGAGGGATGTTCCGGACATCAGAACTGAAGAAGAAGGTTGGAGAAGCTACCAAACAACATCAAGATTACAGAATATGTCCCACTACTACCAGCTACAGTGCACCATGAACATTGTTTTCCCTTTATGACCTTTCTTCCCACATACAATCGGTTATGATATCTTCAGAAATATTTTTACATTTGATTCATTGTTGCATTTGAATTTCTTAAGAACATAAACCATGGGGGGCTCCGAAATACATCCAGATTGAGTTACCGTTCTTCAGAAAACACATGTGACATGATTTATAAGAGGCTACAATATGCTGCATCAAATTACCAGCTCCGCCCGGCCAGCATGGCGATCGCCAACCCGGCTTTACATTACACGGCCGCTGATTGTGTAATTAGGAGATTTATAGGATGATTAAAGCTGAAATCCAGGATCAAGAATACTTTCCACTTATAGTTCCCTCTCCCAAAGCCCCAAATGGTTTTGATTTGTTTCTTACTTTCTTTAAAATCTTCATTTTGGTTTCTTGTGATGTCACTGGCAGCTGAGTATTGTAGTCTGGCCCGGTTGTTTGGCGGAGGATCTGCACATCACGTCCGCCATGTTTACCGGAGAACTACAATTCCCAGGAATCAATTGTGACATTGCAGGCAGACAGTGCTGTCCAATCAAGAGCGGCTATTTGCACAGCTGCCAATCAATGCCTGTGGGCGGGTCAAAACTGGGTGCTCTGCCAATAGGTCCCGCCTACTGAAGGAAGCCTGATGAAAATACATCAGTACCCAGAGAAGGAAACATGACAAGGATTTTAGGTGGGTATTAGTGACGGCCGTGCAACACAGAAGCAGTTCTGCCTCCTCAGCAGGACTTCACGCGTGAGAACGTCTAAATTAGTAAGCAAATCTCATCTCCCACAATTCAGTGCAAACTACTATCTCTCCACTGGTCATCAGCATATGAATGGGACCTAGAAGTGTGTGTCAGGTACAGGGTTATCTGCATTCCCGTTACAAGGAATGGAGTGCAGCATGCTAAGTCATGTGTCACTAACACTTCCAGGTATTTATGAAATACTTCCCTCCCATCTGCAGCAGACTGGTGACATCTCAGCCTAGACAATGTCACCGACTGGAGCTCTTCGACTACTTTACAATAACCAAAAAGCTGAAGCTCTTCTAAAGAATGATACTGTTGCTGTTAGGGATGCACTGATACCGGTTTTTCGGTATCGAGTATGAATAGCGATATATTTTTTTGTCAGTACTCTTCGAATACCGATACCAGAAGTCCCATTAAGGAAGCCGGGCGGCATGTAATGACTCGCCACTCAGCTTCCTGATTAGCCAGGAGGCGTGTAATGACTCACCGCCCGGCTTGCTGATTGGTCAGGAAGCCGGCTCCATGCTCCCTCATCACCAGGTGACGAGGAATCATGGAGCAGGCTTCCGGATTGGCCAGCTTCCCGGCCAGACAGGAAGCCGGGTGCCGAGTCATTACCCGCTCTCTGGCTTCCCGATTGGCCGGGAAGCCAGCTCCATGCTCTCTGGTGACGAGGGAGCATGGAGCCAGATTCCTGGCCACTTAGGAAGCCGGGCGGCATGTAAGGACTCCCGGCCTAGCTTCCTGATAATGGAAGTTTGGGTATCGGGATAAGTATCTGAAGCATTTGGGCAAGTACGCCCAAATACTCAGTATGGGCACAGATATCAGTATACGAGCCTAGTTGCTGTATATTGTGATATGTCAGGGCCAGGAATGTGTCCACGTAGACTTGTCTATATTGAAAACCACAATCTACTTTTAATCTGATCAAAAGCCCTTTAATATAAAGTTGCGGTGTATATATGTATATATATGTACATCCATGAATGAAGAAAGCCGGGATGATACTCACATCAAAGAAAGCCTTCTCATTGGCGTGTTTTGGCACTCCTATTGTTGGTGCGGCAGGAACAACTGTCTCAACGTCAGCAAGGTCGATGTGCCCCTTACAGCTCGTGTCCTCACCAGAGTCATAATATCGGAGCTGGATCACAGACAGGAAAGAGAAGTGTGAGGGATTACATCATCATCACACATATACAGTTTATATATATTCCAGTGTACCAATATTAACTTCAGGCAGCAGCCCCATCAAAAGGTCGACTATTGGCATTAATGGTGAATTTCCACATTTAAGGGACTTCTTCAAAGTGTATCTAGAGCTAAAATGTATTTTTTTAGGATAGGGAATGATTAAGACCCCCGTCTGTTTTTTTTCTATTTTTGTTTTGTATTGTCCAGAAGTGTAACGACAATTTATGGGGTCCCATAGCAAAATTATTACATTATTATTACATTACGCACACACTATGTGCTCTGTATTTTACTTTTCGGGGGTAAGTTTGCACCACCTCAGTCTGCCTGGTGTGTTTTCCAGAGGGGCCAATGCTACCCACTAGGGATTCACCGACACCAGTTTTTCGGTATTGAGTACCGATATTTACCTTTCGGTACTTGCTGATACCGGTGCTTCCGTTACCATGGAGCCAGCTCCATGCTGTTTGGCTGGCTCCATGCTGATTGGCCGTGAAGCCGGCTTCCCGGCCAAACAGGAAGATGGGAGGGGAGTCATTACCCACCTCCAGGCTTCCTGATTGGCCTGGAAGCTGGCTCCATGTTCCCTTGTGGCACTGTCGGTCAGAGGAAATGTCCCTTGGACCGGAAGTTCTGGTAACGGTACATCCCTACCACCCACCCTTTGTATCCCTTCTCCACCCTTTAAAGAGAGGGTACCACAGACCTACCTGGTGCTTGGTGACATCGAGAACAAACCATCGAGGTTTCCAGCCCTTCAGCAGAGCGCCCCTCTTATACAAAATACCTTCAAATGACCTACACAAAAAAAAACAAACTGTGAATGGATTGACCACACATTGGCTCAACATGCAAAACATCTGCCTCAAAGTTCTAAAGGAAACAGGAACACTTACAGTGTGGGCACTTGCACTGCAAGCCTGGTTGCCACTTACAGCTAGTGTGTGTCTATTCAATTTAAAGACAGATTTGAAGTCACTGCGGTATGAACACTGAAAAAAGATTCTGTGCCTGTTGAAGCAGTACACAAGAGAACCAGTCTGCTTTTTTATACAGAGTTCCCTGGAGGCGCCGAGGTTTACCTGTTCTCCTCGTTCTTGGAGGTAAAATGATTGTACAGTGTAGCTGATCTTCGATCCACTCCATTGGAGGGTGAGGATGTCATGTGCTGCTCATCCCCTATGCCGCTGTCTGGGAGATGGATCATGGATGTCTTCTGATAAGACTGCAGATTGGGGGACATTAAGTTGGAAGTCTTTCTCTGTAATTCAATAAAAAAAGAGAATATATGAATATCTTCTCAGTTCACTTGAAGTGTATGCGGAGAGACGAGATCGCCGCTCACAAGATTACATAGCACGTCGGTGAGCATGGAGAGCAGGTACAGGCAAGATGGATCTACTCCAACCTCCCCATAGAAGGCTAAATCACAAAGATCAACCCAACAAAATGATCTCAGTATACTTTATTGTTCCACATGTGCGCACTGGAACCCCCCCCTACTGACTCTGTTCACCCTAGAGATGGGCTTAGTTGTAAAGTCTCTATGACTAAGCCTGGGACCTTCTCACTTGAGACACGGTTCATCCTAGAGATGGCCTTACTCTGAGTCTCTCTCTGGCACCTCCCTCCTCTGACACAGTTCACCCTGAAGAAGAACTTACTTGTAGCGTCTCTTTAACTAAGCCTGGGACCTCCCCACCCTGAAGCGGTTCACCCCACAGAAGAACTTACTGGTAGCTTCTCTTTGGCTAAGCCTGGGACCTCCCCACTGACACGGCTCCCCCCTAAAGATGGGCTTACTTATAGAATCTCTATGACTAAATCTAGGACCTTCCCACTCTGATGCGGTTCACACTACAGACAGACTTTATTGTAGAGTCGCTATGACTTGGCCTGAGATCTCCCCAATGATGGGGTTCACCCTACAGATGGGCTTAGCTGTAGATTTTCTAGGACTAAGCCTGGGACCTCCCCACTGACGCAGTTCACGCTAGAGAAGGATTTAGATGAAGACTCTCCACGTCTAAACCTGAAATCTCCCCTTTCTGATGCAGTTCACCTAGGGAGGAGCTTAGCTATAGATTCTCTGATTAACCTTGGAAACTCCCTACACTGACACGGTTTACCCTACTGACTGGCTTAGACGTATAGTCTCTCTGACTAAGCCCGTCTCTAGGCTCAGTATTGCTTTAAACAGAATCCGTCTCTCTGTCCATTCAGGGCAAAGAACATTCCTCCACCTTGCTAATACTCACCTTCATCCTGCTGCACCACTGGAGCCCTTCTAGGCATGTAAGAAAGTGTGACTTTCTCCCAGGATGCAAAGCTCAGGCCTGAGTGGCCAATGACCAGGCCCAAGCAGTGTCATGCAAGTGAGGAGATCACCTCATTTACCCTGACGCAATCTGACATGGAGCTTACACAGGGATTGGGCTCCAGACCACGACATAGGAACGGAGTGGTGGGAAAGCGCATGCAAGGGGTTTCTTTTTCAAGAGAACCTGTCACTTGTCCTGAATGTGCAAAGAGACAGAGACCCTTTAAGCAATAAAATGCGAGATGATTATTTTTTATTGGAGATCATTCACAGGTAAACCAACATACAGGGCCGGCCTTAGGCCTTTAGGCGCCCTGTGCGAGAAAGCTTTACAGCGCCCCTCAGTGGCCACACCCTTTAGTGGCCACGCCCCCGTAACCACACCCATTTCCCCCAATATATGCACCATTTAAAGACTCCTATTTTGTTAAGCCGCAAAGAAACATATTAAAAAGTGTGATAAAAATAAAACTTTTATTCAAAGGTATTAAACTTGTAGGTGGGGAGAGAAGCCGCCCACAGGACGAGCTGTGACGGCCGCACGGCGCCCTTGTTGCCATGGCGCCCTGTGCGGCCGCACGGCTCGCACACCCCTAAGGCCGGCCCTGCCAACATATAATCAGTATACGGCCATTTGGTGTTTGTTTCAACTAAGAATATTGGTATTCCCTATACTGCACTGTAATATGCAGATTTTCTTGCTTTTTTTACACAGACTATTGGATAATATAATTCACCCGCTGCACATAACATGACACAATGTACAGCTCACTTTGTCCTTACGGAAATCTTAATTGGGCCAAGAAACCTGATGAAGTGTGTGACTCTGGTGTTATATTATGTAACCGAAGAAAAAACAAACAGATGACTGGCCAAGTTTTCACGCTGAGGACCACAATAATATCTAAGCATCTCCCAGGACAATAACAGTACAGGAACGGCCCGGCACTCACAATCTCCGTCTTGGCGTCCTCCTTCAATTTCACCTTTGCCTTCTCCCACAGAAGCTGCCACCGCTCTGAACTCTGATTCAAGGCGCTCTCCAGTCTCTCGATTTCCTGAAATCAGAACGCACTGTCCTTAGCAAAAACTTCATCACATATCCGTCCCATAAAAATAGATTCTTTATGGATTTCCCTTCCCTGGGGACCCTTCAGATGACACCAGCAACGCGCCCAGCCAAGATTAACATTTGAGCCGTAGGAAGAAATGGCCTCTAGTGAGGAAGGACACTCGATCGGGGCGATGAAATAACATGCCCTTCACCCGACCTATTGTTCCGCAGTCAAGACGGGAATGTGATTTATGGGTTTTGTTGGGATACAGATGAGAAGGATGGAGTGCAAAGGTTCGTTTGGTCATGCAAGCGGTGGAAAATCACCGGGACGGGATCTGAAATGACAGTATTTCGAGTGCGGCTCTGCGAATGGAGAGTGGGAAAGCCAATTCTAAATGTGGTCATCATAAAACTCTCTGCCAGCTGGTGGTTGGCTATCGTGTCAGAGAACTGAGGGTCCAAAATTGGCACCTGTGGTGGTAATATGATGCAATCTCCAATCCCCCAACTACAGAGAAGCGGTCTGCTTTATGAATTTGGCAGGGGTAGCGTTAAGGTTTTGTCATTATTTACTAAGCCCAAGTAGTACATGGAATCTTATTTCTTGTTTTATGATAATTGGGACTCCACATGGGGCTGCAATTAAACTGTCACTACGAAGGAACGCCGAAAATCTCAGTAACATTTATTTTTATGACCCGGGGGAGTCTTTACTTGTTGAGGGTCATCAACTCCGATCTGAAATGCAAAAACAACTCACAAATACATTCGTCATAGTTCGTATGTCCTGACCAGACATCGGAGGACAGAAAACCAAAACGCACAAGTCCCTTTTATATAAGAAATAACTGATTCAGTGAGATTTCCCTCAACCACACACAGCGTCACGCACTGCCATTAAAGTTTACCTACCATGCTTGCAACAAAGTTTACTTTTACATTTTATTAAAAGCAAAAGTAAAGTTAAAACGTTCACGTGCAATTCTGTAGTTAGATAACAGATTCACTGCACACAAGAACATTCACATGGTATGTGTTGCCCTGTACAGAGTGAAGGGCCGGTTGTTGATTTGCCCGGAGCTGTGTGAGGAAGCATGCGGCGGGCAGCTCATGTAATGCTATGGAGAAGCCAGAGCTGCAAGCCCTCCCATGCTGCTTCCTACAGCCGCACACAGACGGTGCACGGACCTGGATACACCATGAGGAGAATTTATCAAAATCTGAAGCAGCTGTGCACGGCAACCAACCAGCTTCTCTCTTCAGTTTGTTCAGTTAAGATATGAAAATGAAAGAGAAGCCGATTGGTTGACATGTACGTCTGCTCCAGATTTTGTCTGCTCCAGTTTTGGTAAATTCCCCTCCATGTCTTCGTCCAAGGCCGTACACCGCCTGTGTACGTCTGTCAAAACTTGGAGGTGTGGGGTGCGCATCCCTATAGACTTATGTGAGCTGCCTGCATGCTTCTTCCTGCAGCTCCAAGCGCATGAAACAGCGGCCCATGACGATCTACAGAGCAACACTTCCCATGTGAATGAGGCCTTACTATAAGAATCAGGAGCTAAAGAAATATGGCAATTATGACACAATAATAATGAACAAACATTTTCAGGTGTCCCAGAAGCTTGCCATGTCTGTTTACACCCCCAGCTACTCTACTCCAGCCAAACAAATCAAGCAATTCCCTAATGCTGGCCATATAAACCGCTGACTTGAAATTCCACCAGTATATGCTGGAAAAAAAAACCCATTTGGCAAAAGTCTATTTTTCAAGAAATTTTTGTCGAAGGTCCGCCAATTTGCTGTCAGAATACA